TGATTGATCCAGTACCACTTGTTGAAAAGGCTGTTTTCTTCGTTGAATTGCTTTTGTACCTTTGTCAAAAATCAGTTGGCTGTATTTGTGTGGGTGTGTGGTTCTGAGTCCCCTGCTCTCTTCCACTGATCTATGTGTCCCCTGCTCTCTTCCACTGATCTATGTGTCTCTCTCTCTGCCAGTACCACACAGTCTTCATTACCTTAGCTGTATAATGTCTTGAGTCAGATAGACTGATTCCTCCCATTTTACCTTTTTCAAAATTGTTTTAGCTCTTCTAGTTCCTTTGTCTTTCTATGTAAATGTTAGAATAATCTTGTCTGTTTTTACAAAAATTATTATTAGGATATTGCTAAGAATTTTGTAAAACTTATATCCCAATATGGGGAGAATTGATGTCTTTACTATGTCCCGTCTTCCAATCCATTAACACGGTAGGTCTTGCCATTTATTTATGTCTTCTTTGATTTTTTTTTTTCATCTGTATTTTGTAGCTTTCAGCATACAAGTTCTGCATATATTTCGTTAGATTTACACCTAAACTTTTTGTGGGGGTGTTTTGGATTTTTTCTGAATGGTATTTTCTTTTTAATTTCAGTGTCTAGCTACATGGTCATTGCTAGCCTATAAAAATTCAATTGAATTTTGCATGTTTTTCTTCTATTCTGTGATCTTGCTAAACCATTTATTAGTGCTAGGAGATTTTCTTTACAGATTCCTTGAAATTGTCTATGTAGACATATGATTGGCAAACAGAAACAGTTTCACTTCTTCCTTTCCGGTCTGTCTGCCTTTTGTTTCCTTTTCCTGCCTATTGCACTGACTGGAACTTCCAGCACTATGTGAATAATGGGGTGAGGACAGACATCTGGCCTTGTCACAGTCTTAGGCAAAAACGTTCAGTCTTCACCAGTAAGTATATTGTTAGCCACAGGGTTTTTCTTGATGCTTTTTGTCAATTTAAAGAAGTTTTCTCCCATTCCTATTTTTCTGAGAGTCTTATCATGAATATGTGTTGAATTTTGTCAAATGCTTTTTGTGAGTTAATTGATATGATCATGTGATTTTTCTTCCTTAGCCTAATATAGTAAATTACATCAATTGGTTTTTAAATATTGGATCAGTCTTGCAACCCTGAAATAAACCCCACTTGATCTTTATGTATAATCATTTTTGTATATTGCTGAATTCTATTTGCTAATATTTTGTTAATGATTTTTGTGTCTATATTCCTGAGGGATATTGGTCTATAGGGGTTTTTTTGTTGTTGTTGTCTTTGTCTGGGTTTGGTGTCAGGGTAATTGATGGAGTTTGGATGTATTGTCCTCCCAGAACTTGTGGAAATCTGATCCCCAGTGTGACGGTTTGAGTCACAGGGGTGGATCCCTCATGAATGGATTAGTGCTCTCCCTAGATTGGGAGAGTGAATGAATTCTTGCTGTATTAGTTCTCATGAGAGCTGCTTGTTTAAAAGACCCTGGCACCTCCTCTCTCTCTGTCTTGCTTCCTCTTGCCATGTGACCTGCTTGTACCCACTGGCTGCCTGCCACTTTCTGCCATGAGTAGAAGCAGCCTGAGGCCTGCACCAGCTGCAGCTGTCCCAGAATCATGAGCCAAATAAACCTCTTTCCTTTATAAATTATCCAGTCTCAAGTATTCTGTTATAGCAACACCAAATGGACTAATACAGTAATACTAGCTTCATAAAGTGAATTGGGAAGTATTTTCTATTTTCTGGAAAAGATTGTTTAGAATTGTGTTAATTCTTTAAATGTTTGGTAGAATTCTCAAGTGAAACCATCAGGACTTGAAAATTTCATTTTTTTGTTTTTTAATTAGAAATTTTATTTCCTTAATAGTTATTGGTTGTTCAAATTACCTATTTCATATTGATTGAGTTGTAGTGATTCACAGCTTTTGTAGGAATTGATCCATTTTATCTAAGATGTCAAATTTATGTGTAGGGATGTTAGCAGTGTTCCCTTACTATCCTTTTGATGTCTGCAGGGTCTGTAGAGATGTACCCTCCTTCATTCCTGATATTCATAATATGTGTTTTCTCTCTTTGTTTCTTTGTCAGTCTTGCTATAAGTTTGTCAATTTATCGATATTTTCAAATAGCTAGCTCTTTGTTTCATTAATTTTACGCATTGTTTTTCTGTTTTCTATTTCATTTGTTTCTACTCTTCCTTCCTTCTGCTATTGTGGGTTTATTTTGCTTTTCTTCTAGGTTCTTAAGGTGGGACTTTAGATTATCGATTTGATATTTTTCCTCTCTTCTAATGTAAGCACTTAGTGCTATGAAGTTCCCTCTCAGCATTGCTATAGCTGTGTCCCATGGCTAAATTTTGATGTATTATATTTTCATTTTCATTGATTTCAATTTTTTTTTAAAATTTCCCTTCCAAATTCCTCTTTGACCCATGAATTACTGAGAAACGTGTTGTTTAGTTTCCGAGTGTCTGGAGATTTTCCTGCTGTCTTTCTGTTATTGACTTTTGTTTGATTCTCTTGTAATGAGAGTATACTCTGAAACTCTGAACAGTTTCAGTTCTTTAGAAAAATTGTTCGTGGTTTTCTTTATGGCCCAGGATATGGTCTATCTTGGTATATGCTTTGTAGGCACCTGAAAAGAATATGCTCTCAGCTATTTTTAGGAGAAGTGGTCTATAAATGTGGATCGTTTGATGGACTTCTAAAACTATGTCAAGACACTGAGGTCATTAACTCTTAAAGGTTATGTGATACATTAGTTTTCCCAATGACTTCATAGGTGATATAAGCCCTACTGAGTTCACCAAGGAGCCTGTGGAACCTTGTGGTGATCCTCGTCAGTGAAGGACACTTTTCTTCCCTAATAGGTGTGGGGCTTCCTGAAGGCTAGGGCCAGCAGCTCAATCCATGGCTCTATGAAAGTTTCCTGGTTGACATTGTTACTCTTATACTTTCAAGAGATTTGATAAAAACATCATAGAATGCTAGAGCTAGAGGGAACCAAATGGGTCATCTGGTCTACCCTCCCTTTTGGCAGGTGAAGCAATGAGGTCTTGAGAGGTTAATTTAAACTGATTAGTTTTAAAAATGTTTCTTTCTTTTTATGAAATCAATATATATTCATTGTAGAAAATGCCCAGGATATAGAGAAGCAAATATAAGAAAATAAAATTTATATATAATCTTATGACTAAAAGATAATGACCATTATTATTTTGGAGTGTACCTTTCTAATGTGTCTTCAAAAATGGGACCACTGCGTATTACTGTTTTAAAAGCTTTTTTTTTTTTTACTTTAACAATAGACATGAACATTTCCCAAGATATTATTTCTTTTTTTTTTTTTCTTTGTCTTTTTTATTTTTTCGTGACCGGCAACGGATCGCAACCCTCAGTGTCGCGCCCGTACCGGACCGGGACCGGCAACGGGATCGCAACCCTCGGTGTTGCCCCCGCTCCTCGCTCAGCCAGTGAGCGGCCGGTCTGTATGTGGGATCCAAACCCTTGGCGGGAGCGCCGCCGCGCTTCCCAAGTGGCACACTGTAGCAGTACGCCACCGGGCCACGGCCGGTCTGTATGTGGGATCCAAACCCTCGGCGGGAGCGCCGCCACGCTTCCCAAGTGGCACACTGTAGCAGTGCACCACCGGGCCGGCCCCAAGATATTATTTCTTTTTTTTTTTTTTTTTCCTTTGTCTTTTTTTTTTTTTCGTGACCGGCAACGGATCGCAACCCTCAGTGTCGCGCCCGTACCGGACCGGGACCGGCAACGGGATCGCAACCCTCGGTGTTGCCCCCGCTCCTCGCTCAGCCAGTGAGCGGCCGGTCTGTATGTGGGATCCAAACCCTTGGCGGGAGCGCCGCCGCGCTTCCCAAGTGGCACACTGTAGCAGTACGCCACCGGGCCAGCCCCAAGATATTATTTCTAATAGCAGACTATGATTTCACAGTAGAGATATATCTGTATGGGGATATTTAAAATAAAGAAAGATATATTTCACAGTACAGATATATCTTTATTTTAAATATCCCCATTTGACGGACATATGGTTTGTTACCGTTTTTACTAATATTAAATAAAATTGTGATGAACACCTTTTGTATACATGCATGATCATTTCCTAGAAATGAGACACTGGGTCAGAGTATATGAACATTTTTAGCTTTTGAGCCCCATTGCCAGAATGGATGATTGACATGTTTTATTTGGGCAGATATGGTTTTGTTTTTATTTGTTTTGTTTATAGTAGAGGGTTAGGCATCAAGTCAACATAGAGGATTACATGAACTCAGGACTAAGTCTTGTGTAAGTTCCCAGTGTTTTAGGGTGTGAACTAACAGTTAACTGGAACCAGGAAGAGATCTCTCCCTTCCCAAGAGCACAGAGTTGCTGAAAACAGTGCTGTGGGCATCTACACCTTCCTGTGCAGTAGCTGGCCCTGGGCCTGGTCAGGAAACAGGAAAACAGGCAAGTTACATCAGCCTGGGGCCTGAACCTTGTAAAACCAGCCACCCACCCCAGTTTTATGAGCCAGGCAACAAAGGACAAACGTGCTGAACCCGGCCTGCTTCCTCTTTGCAGGCCACTGTGAGAACACAGCAGTACACCATGTCTTGCACTTGAGATATGCCCTGAACTCAACTCATCAAAGTAATTGCCCCCATAAAATGGATCCAGGCCCTAAGAGAAAACTTCCCATATTTAGAGACCCAGTCCTGCCTGTTTTTTATAGCTGGTGCTGACAGAAGGACAACAGCCCTGGACACTCTGCTGAGACCACTTGGGAGACTGGCTGTGGGCCTGGAGCAGTCCGGGAGGGAAAGAGCAGTTCCAGGTGGACAGAAAAACCCTGGGCCAGAAAGACCTGAGTTGCTGATGGGGGCCAGAGCATCTCGCCAGCTCCTCAGCCTGGCCCTGCATTGGCACACATGTGGGACTAGGGCTGTAATGATCTGCATGTCTTTCTCCTTTTCTGCATCCCATCTGTCTTTCTTCTTTGGTTGCAGAGAGAGAAGAACTAATCCAGAGCATGCTGACCCAGGTGGCAGAGCAGTTCTCAAGGTGCAGAGCTTGTAAACACATCCTACCCAGAGATGGATGCTTTTTATTCTGATGGCAAAGGGGGGCCCTTTGCTGTGAGGCTGGCCTTGGCTGGGAGGCTCAGACATAATATCCTGTGCTTCCTCCTGGCTTCTGTAATGGAACCAGCTTGGATGGGGTTTAGGAAACGCTCGCCTTGTACCAAAGATGTTGTCAAGTGGACACTCTTAGAATGTGAGCTTGTGTTGCCCAGAACTACTCAGAGGATAATCTACCAAATTTGACACCATTTTAAAAATAAGCTTTCTCACCGAGATTATGGGGGAAGGGAGGGCTTCCTTTTCATTCTGAGTCACCCCACCTATCCTGAATGAAGTACTTTCAGGGTCTCCAGCTGAAGTCTCTGGCATCTTACTGCCCCAGGGTAACTAAAATAGGGGAAAGGGCAGATGCATAGTATTTTCTAAAGCCTGTGAATGTTTAACTGAATGGGTTGGAGCCTCTAGAGAGCATGCCGGGTGCCCTGAAGGTGTCTGTACCCGTCACGGCAGAGTGCGGTGGGCGGGTAGGGGGTCCCATCTCAGCTTCATGAGCAGAGGGCCACTTGCCGTCCCCATAAGTGCGTGTTCACTGCCCAGGTATGGGGAAGTAAATAAACCCACCAGCACAGGGGTGTGTCCCATCTTGTAAAATACACCTTGCAATAATTTCAGGTATATGTTTCCTCCCCCTGGGACATTAAGAGTTCCTTAAAAACAACCCCTAGCGTTTTTGTCCCCACCACCACCAGCCCACCTGCAGACCTTGCCCACAGCAGGGATTCAACAGATGTTTGCTGAACAGATTTTAGCTTCAAGAATCTTATGCATTATGACTTCTTTCTTTCTTTTTTTTTTTATTTCTAGAGCATTTAAAATCAACGAGCTGAAGGCTGAAGTTGCAAATCACCTGGCAGTGCTGGAGAAAAAAGTCGAATGTGAGTGGGTTTTCATTTCCTCTTTGTGTATCTGTCTTTTAACCTCTATTCATATCAACCCTTGGAACAGTGCAGAAGTTAGTGCTGAAGGTCAGTGTAAATGTCTTTTCTTTGTTAAATGATTAAAAATATCCATTGATGTTAACGAAGGCTAGAACAGTGACTAACCTAAGCATTTTATTGCTAGTTTAAAAGTAAGGCACAACATAAAACATTTTCTCAGTGCAGAAAAGTACGAAATGAAAACACAGCCCCTCAGAGCCTCTGCTGTGTGTCTTCCTGTGATTCTTTTGCATAATTGAGGACGTTCTCTGCACACTGACCCGCACTCTGTGGTTCTGCAGTTTCTCAGACTGTGTCTCCGACATCACTACCTCTTGGTTTCCAATCACCACAAAAGAGAAGCAGAAAACCTACAAGTGAGGAAAGGAGAGTTGATTCAAGTCTTGATTCAGTTATAAGAAAGCTCAGGTTCTGGGAGGATGTTTCAAGTCCACAGGTGCTTCCCATCCACTGCTCGAATCCCACTGTTCCGCATCAGCCTCCAGCTTGGCAATGTGGAGCAGGACTTTGTCAATGTCAAGGCTGTTGCTTTGCCTCCCACAGATTTGTCACCCCTTTTCCACTGGGTGACAGAGCTGCCAAAGATTATTCAAACCCATCTCTTCTGAGGAGTGAGAAGCCCCGCAAAGGGGTTAATCTCCCAGAACCCTCAAGATAGAGGCAATCCTTCCATTTGAGAAGTTAACCATGAATTGGGGTTCTCTTCCTGCATTTATTCTCTAAACAAGGAAGTTACAGGAAGAGAACATAGGTGGGGTTTTTTCTAAGTACAGTTTAACAAGTTTAACAATAGACATTCCATAATGCAATTTTCAAGAAGTTAAGTTGATCCACCAAAAAAGCTTGACCTTAGCAAACATTCCTTGTCCCCACAGCAGCTTCCCAGTATCTTTACATATCAGTCAGTAACCTGTCTGTCTTTGAGCCAGCAACCTTGCTGTGTTACAATCCTTTATCTTACAACAGAAACTGTATAGCCTGTGGAAAATTTCCTGTCCTTTGCAAGGGCAATATTTGAAACTGCAAGGCTTTGGAAAACCAGGCCCTGTGAAGTACATTTGTTTTATGCATACTTCACCTCTCCCCCCATTTTATTTATTTAAAAGAAATAGCAAAAGCTATAGATTAGGTTTTCACAGTCAAGACAAAAGCATTTAAAGCAAAGTTGTATCATTTAGCATGGCAAGTCCTTTTAATTTATTTCAGGTGAGGACTGATGATGTCATCGTCTCAGAGTGGCTGCATCAGCATTGTTCCAGGTGCTGTGAATTGGGTGTAATTACCAATTGTTGGAACTCCAGAATGGGATTCTGCTCTGTATAATAGTTGACTCTGAGTCCGAGTCCGGAGAGTTTGTTAATGTTCACCTGTCCAGGACATTACTGCTTTCAAAGCATCTAGTCTTTGTAAAATTTTTGATCAATTACAAGTCTTTTGTTTAAGAACAGGATGTCTCATCCAAGCTACAAACACCCTCTTTAAGGCCAGGAAAATTTAGAGAACTGCTTTTGCAGAGAAGACATTATTTCCCCCTTTATGATCAAGGCATTCCTCATAAAAGCATTGATGATCAATATCTTGATTGAAAAGGTCTTACTTTTTTTTGTATAAATCCCACATTGCTGGGAAGTCTCATCCCCAGGTGGTGATCTGTCCCAGTCAGGGGGAAAGATGAACAGCAGGATGAAGCCGCAGTTAGGCCAAATTAAGGCAACATGAAAGAGGAGTCAGCAACTTAGAAGTGAGACATGCTATCTTATATCCAAAGTTTTAAATTATATCCTGTTATAAAGAGAGAGTTAATTTTCATTGAATTTATAAAAATAGCCACATTGTCATAATAATCATAAAGATACCTAAAGGGATTAAATTTTGGGGGGATCAAGTAGGGAGAAAACAAATACCTTTATCTCTGTTTTAAATGATATTTTACCAAACTGTTGTTAGTTATAGATAGCTTAAGAGAGAATGTTTTTAGATTTGGAAAATAAAACATTAAGAAAACCAGCAGAGTTTCAAAATAAGGAAATTGTAAAAACCCATAATTTCTTTTTAATTAGTTCACTAATTAACTTTTTTTGTTTTGACCTTTGTGAACAATTTCACAAACCCATCAGTTTCTTCATTAGAATTTTGGAACTTTAGTTTCAAGCTATGAACTCAAAGTTTGTCAGGAAACTGTACCTATCAGAGTTTTTTCATGTAATATTTGAAGACATAACATTTTAAAATTATAATTAAACCAAGATTATGACTGGTAGCATTTATATCAAAACACAAATATTTAAGAACCTTACAAGATTTTGGAACACATATCCATAACACCTTCAGTACTGACAATGCTTTTCCATATAGTCTAATTTATTAAATAAGCCAATTAGTTTTGATCCATTTTTTATATATCCTTTGAGAAGCTCCAGGGCCCTCGGAACTCCTCAAAGTTTGTTTAAACCAAAAGGTTGAGCTTTCAGAATTTAGTATTGGAAAGCTCTGTCAAATAACAAAAGGCTTAAAACAGTTGAGTAAAATCACAAATTATTGCAAAAAACCAAAGTGACAAAGATTTTCAAAGGCAAAGAACACAAGAAATTATCATGAAGTAAGTTTTCTTAAACCAGATATCTAAGGGACAAAGAAAACCTTTACAATTTTGTATTAAGAGCAGTCAAGTGAAAAGACCTCTACTATCCTGTTTGATTAGTAAAACCAGGCAATGATGTGTGCTGATAAGAACATTTTTATACATTCAGGTTAGTAAATAGGCATCCATTTATCAGAGCAAATTATACAAAGCTCAGTTTGAGTTTTAGCTGTTTTTACTAAATATGTGTTTATGGTTTCCCAGCCAAAAACTTGGTGTATTAGATCTATACCCTTATCAGTTAATGTTA